AACAGTAGCAGGAATAAAGAGGTAGAGCTTTGTTAATGTTGCAGTGTGGCTGTATTTAGCCTCATTACTCACAACCTCTTCTTGGACCTGCTCCCTCAGGTGGGACAGGTCCCTGGAAAAGTTCAGACTTCAGTCATCACACACTTCTTAGCTGGAGGTGATCTCTGGTGGATTTCCCTAAGAGGAAGACTCAGCTGTTATCTCTGTCCCAGACTGGAAATAAAACACAAATAGGTAAAGAAAAAGTTAATAAGATTATAATTTTAAATAAAAAAGTTAATTAGATAATAATAATAAAAGAACAATACCTCTTCTTGAACGGTTGTTATGAGGTGGTTGAATCTCTGGGTCATCATCATCAGGGCAGAGCTTTAATCTGGTCTAGGGCTTGTCGACAATCAGTTTTAGCTTTTTCATAAAGTGCTGCTACAACTTTTTGGCTGAAGTGTTGATGTGATGGGATGTCGTAGCGAGGCTCAATAACTTTAAAGCTGGCGCATCAACAACAATATTCAGTCGTAGATCCAGAGCTTTAAAAACTCCTACATCTTGTGTTATTGGTCTGGACCGATCTGAATTACCTGATAAAGGTTGTTTAAATGTAGTTATCGGTGTTTGCAACAAGCTGCTTTTCTTGCTTGTAGAAAAGACGTTCACGTTCAGATGATGTTTCAAGAGCGTTAACAAGTTAGACGTGTTGCTGCTGCAGATCCAATCTCCCTGAAACAACGTTGACACACAGCTTTGGATTTACACTTGTCTTTTAACAAGAAAGCCATAATGTTCCCAAACAGGAGACCGCAACGACATGCTAGGCTGCTAATGCTAGCATGCTGCAAGATAATAGTGCCGTGCTGAAACACGATTAGGAACTTTAGTTCTGCGGCGCATAATCTCTCGTTAATAAAATTTAATGAGTGAAAAATACACCAAAACGGTACACACGTGGACCGAACCGAACGTGCCTAACCGAAACGGTTCGGTACACCCACATGTACCGTTACACCCATAGTGGAGGTGGTGTGCTGGTAATCTCAACTTGGGATGTTGAAGGTCGGTGGGCAGAATACTTCGAAGACCGCCTCAATCCCACCGGCATGTCTTCCACTGAGGAAGCAGAGCCTGGGGACCTTGGGTCGAGCACTCCAATCTCTGGTGCTGAGGTCACAGAGGTGGTTAAAAAGCTCCTCGGTGGCAGGGCCCCAGGGGTGGATAAGATTCGCCCAGGGTTCCTTAAGTCTCTGGGTGGGGTTGTGTTGGCTTACACGACACTGTAATATTGCGTGGACATCGGGGGAAGTTCCCCTGGATTGGCAGACTGGGGTGGTGGGCCCCCTATTCAAAAAGGGGGACCGTAGAGTGTGTTCCAACTACAGGGGAATCACACTCTTAAGCCTCCCTGGTAAGGTCTATTTGGGGGTTCTGGAAAGGAGGGTCCGTCAAATAGTCGAACCTCAGATTCAGGAGGAGCAGTGCGGTTTTCGTCCTGGTCGTGGAACACTGGACCAGCTCTACACTCTCTGCAGGGTCCTGGAGGGTGCGTGGTAGTTTGGCCAACCAGTCTACATGTGCTTTGTGGACTAGGAGAAGGCGTTCGACTGCGTCCCTCGAGGAACCCTGTGGGGGTACTCCGGGAGTATGGGGTACCAGACCCTTTGATACGGGCTGTTAGGTCCCTGTACGACCGGTGTCAGAGCTTGGTCCGCATTGCCAGCAGTAAGTTGAGCTTGTTCCCAGTGATAGTTGCACTCAGCCAAGGTTGCCCTTTGTCACAGATTCTGTTCATAACTTTTATGGACAGAATTTCTAGGCACAGCCAAGGTGTTGAGAGGATCTGTTTTGGTGACCTTAGGATTGCTTCTCTGTTTTTTGCAGATGATGTGGTCTTATTGGCTTCATCAGGTCGTGATCTACAGCTTTCGCCAGAGCGGTTTGCAGCCGAGTGTGACGCGGCTGGGATGAGGATCATTTCCTCCAAATCCGAGGCCATGGTCTTGAGTCGGGAAAGGGTAGAGTGCCCTCTCCAGGCCGGGGAGGAGGTCCTGCCCCAAGTGGAGGAGTTTAAGTATCTCTGGGTCTTGTTCACAAATGAGGGAAAAATGGA